AACACACAGGCTATAAGCCGTCCTTTTCACGTCCTGCGATGCCGTGACCTATAACTATTAGCCCAAGGCATGTTTTCATGCCTCCTAAACCTGACCTATAGGTCTGGCCTACCTCATATATCCCAGAGACAGAGGGTTTTCATGTGGAAAAAAACAGCAGCAACCTTCAGATGTCCTGTCTTCAAGTTCATAAATCCATAGCTTTGTTTTTGGCAGTGGAATTTGTCTTGAAGGAAGTCGGCTACATATAGAAACCTGTCTGGTGGCTTTGTCATGAAATGGATTTTGCAGCATAAAATAAAGGCTTCTCTTTAAGTCTTTACATATATAGTCTATCACCAGAATTCAAACACAGCTCTGAGGATATTCTAGCTTTAATAAACAAAACAAAAAAGGTCAGAGGTCATTTAACATTTGGTGTTAAATTTTCTGCAGCCATGTTAACACCTCACTGGCAAGTGTTTACAGAGTAAGAGCTTTGAGATCCGTCTCATTCCAGCCTCAGCGTCACTGTTTGTGCTCTTTCAGTCATGTCCTGACAGCAGTGTGAATGGGCATACCAGAGCAACATTCCCAAATGACACCTCTCTAGGTATACTTTTACATACGTCAATCTTATCTGCTTTTTTTACTCTCTGTCTTTTTGTGTGCACTTGTGAGACTAGAGTTGAGATCGGTTACAGACCTTTTGGAGAATGTGCAAGAGGCTATTTGTGTTCACCACATGATCTCAAGTTACAGACCTCATACTGTAACAGAATATTTTGAAGGGCCCAAAATGGGTGTGGATGATCAATAACACTTTTCACATCACACTTTGTCATCTATTGTCAGCATCCACACAGTTTAGATCTAATAGGCTTTGCAAAATACTGTTTATTGAGAACTATTAGAATTTTTTAAAGGGGGTGTACAATGCTGTTTCATGCATTCAGAGTTGTTTACACTGTTAAAGAGTTGGATTCTCATGCTAAACATGGCCAAAGTTACACGTATAACAGAGTATTTCTGTGCCAAATACACACTTCAGGGTTTCTTACAAGTTTCGGAAAGTTTTTTTCGATTGTGCCTCTTCATGACGTAATGAAGGGTGGAACTCCTTATATGGGCATTTCTCCCGGAAGAGCGCACCCGCGCACGCATCGACCAGAGTCAGACTGAGATCGCGCCCATCAACGCGCTTCATCCGGAGGCGGTGCTGCACGGGACTCGCTCGGGAAGAATGTCTAAAGAGTCCAAAGAAGTGTGTTTTTGTAAAGATAACTTTGTTCAGCTTCCTAAAAACCCAACGTTATGTAAACAGTGGATGCAGTTTGTTTTTCCGGAGCAGCAACAGAATTTCACAAGTGTGTTTGTTGACGAACGTTTTATAAGCAAGGCCCAGTTCGACGCTGGATTAGCACATCGTTTGATACTGAAAGATGGAGCAGTCGAGCTATAAAAGATCCCGGTCATGATTCAGAACTGTAGACGGTAAGTGAAACTGCATCAAATGGCTGTGTTTTGTTGGCAGTCGGAGCTCAAGTGCTCGTCAATCTTTAGCTCCGCCCACGGCGCGCCTCCAGGAGCTCGGCTTTTTCCGGAGAGAATCGTAAAGCTGTATCTTTCTTTTATATATATGATAAAACTAAAGACTTTTTGGAGATGTAAAGGATGCAGTACTACTCTATAGGTACTCAAGATTAACATGAGATTGGGTGAAACTGTGTGTGTTATCTCCCCTTTAAAGACACGTGTAACCATCATGTAAAAAGTAATAACATTTTCCTTACACTTCAAATATATGTGCAGACACTTTTTTTTTTTTTCCCCTGAAATGTGTTTACACTTCTGAGGAGGTCTGAAGTACATTACAGTGCAGTTTAAGAGGATGTGGATGAGGTGTACAGTCCCAGAACTGAGATCATGAAGGTCAGGACCCCCTCAGAGAGATAATGTGAAACACCTGAGGCCCCGGAGGAGCTCAGAGCGCTTTCATACAGAGTCTACTGTTGAGAGTAAACCTGAGGCCCCACAGCTATCAACACGGTTCCGGTGATAACCTTTGCATTATGGACCGAGTTTCATATAAAATGGGTCATTTGTTGCAGAGACAAAAATGGCACAACAATATTTGAAGGCAAGATTTTGCTTATTTAAATCTATGGACACTCCTTGTTTCTGTAAATTAAATGTATAGAAGGTTCTTCAATTTTTCCACTTATTTTACCAATCAATGGACATGACTTTCCATGATTTCCTGGAAAAGGATGATCAGATGAACAGATTGGGGGAAAAAAATCTACACATCTTGAGGCTCCCTAGTAGTGGACCCAAACTCCCTGGTTGAAAACCCCTGGTCTACAGGTATATTACACTGTAGAAGCATTTTAAAATACTTTCATATGTGGTAATATGATCTATTTTCTATATAATATTACAACAAAGGTATTCTTCTCAAAAACATCTGACAATAAGCAAGAAGTTACAATTTGACAACTCACTGTACCCCACTACAGTATTAGCAATAATGTTGCCAATGTTCAACAGCTTTTTTGCAATGCTGATTTTAATGTTTATTTATTTGAAACTGGTTTTCAAAGATAATCCCACAATGAGTAATATTCTGGAGTAAACAAACTGACAATTTAACCTTGTTTCCGCTTAACACTTATTTTTTTTTATTTCATTAAGATTTTTCTTAATGTCACATTAAAACAATTTGATAAGTCATAAAAATGTAGAACATTTCAATGTAGAATTGGTAATTCAGTAACATTAGAGAATTCTAATCTAGTATTTGAAGTTTCTGTATGTATCCAAACACAGTCTGGTCTTGCTTTAGATCAGCACAACCATCTTTTATGCAAATATATATTTCACAAATAAAAACAACAACAACAATGAAACAACACAATCACATTATTACATGGCAGAGAGAGAGAGAGAAAAAAAAAACAAGACATGAAAATGTAGGAAATAGGTTCCGCTAGGAGCTGTGATGAAATGCCTCCCCAGGAGTCATGATGGTTTCATTGAGGTCAGTATTACTTGTATAGTAGAGTGAACTGCAACGCAATAGACACGTGTTCCCTGCATGCAGTTTTTTTATTGGGATGATATATAATGTGCTCATTCTTATTGGTTTCATTCAGTTGTAAGAAATTGAAGGTATATACAGCTGAAGAATATACTGACACACAATCATGCATTTGCTGGTGTGAGTGAGGTTACGAAACATCTTTTCATCTCAGCAAGAGGATGCACTTGGTTAAATAAAAACTACTCTACTGTATTTTTGTTCAGCCCGTGTGTTGTAACAGCACGTACTACATTTTCCTTAGACAGTAATAACACAGATCACATTCTTTGTCATCTGTACTCTTCTTAAAATAAGCCCTGAGCAAAAAGTCCTGTAAACAAGCATCACATTCAGTTACTCACTTCATGCTACTAATCTAAACTAATCAGCAACAATACATTCTGAATCTACTGTACCGACCCGTGCTGCTAACTGATTTGTTACACTGATCACACGTTTCTTCTCTCTTTTGAATAGATGAAATATCATAGACGTTTTCTTAAAAGAAACAGCACATCCAAAAATGAAACAATGAATCAGGATTTACTCACCCTTGTATGACTTTATTTCCTTAACGGAAGATGTTTTGCAGAATGTTGACACAGCTCATTTTCATACAATGCAAGTGAATGAGGACTGAGGCTGCCAAGTTCAAAATATGATCTAAAAATGTCTGCAGGCATTATAGACGTAGTGTATATGACTTGTGCAGTATATTTCAAGTCTATTTAAGTCATATGATAGATCTGTGTGAGGAAAAGAAGAATTCAGTGAAAATCTTCCCTTCCATTCATAACTATTGGTTATGATGAACACCATAAATAACCAGTCAAGTTTGGCAACAATCACATCAAATCTGTCATGATGTGTTTCTCTGATGCCATACGTAAATATATGCCAATACATATTTGATTTAAGAGCTACAGTGGAGGGAAATAACTGACTTCAGAAGAATACGAATACAGTGCATGATTCACTATTTTTTTGATAATTCAAAGGAATAGTTTACTCAAAAACGAAGATTTGCTCACCCTCAAGCCATCCAAAATATAGATGGGTTTGTTTCTTCATTGGAACGGATTTGGAGTAATTTACATTACTTGCCCTCTGCAGTGAATGGGTGCCGTCAGAATGAGAGTCCAAACAGCTGATATAAACATCGTAATAATCCACAAGTAATTCACACAACTTCAATCCATCAATTAAGATCTAGTGAAACAAAAAGCTCTGAGTTTGTAAGAAACAAATCCATCATGATGCTTTTAACTTAACCGTTGCTTCCAGCTAAAATACAAGTCATCTATCCATAATGCAGCTTTCTCCCATGTCTCATCTGAAACAGTCTAACAACAGTTCTAAACAAATATAGCAGTGGATTTTGATGTGAGAGGACAACAGGGCATGGACTTTTTCACTGGAGGAAGTTTTATCATTGATTATGGACTGGTATTTTGGCCAGAAGCGAAGGTTTAAAGTTACTTTAAAAGCCGTAATGATGGATTTGTTTCTCACATTAACTGATGGACTTGAGTCATGAGGATTACTTGTGGATTATTGGGATATTTTTTATCAGATGTTTGGAGTTTCATTTTGACGGCACCCATTCACTGCAGAGGATCCACTGGTGATCAAGTGATGCACTGCAAAACATTTTCAAATCAGTTCTGAGGAAGACACAAATTCATCTGATGGCCTAAGGGTGAATACAATTTCAGCAAATTTTAATCTTTTGGGTGAACTATCCCATAATGCTGCTTTATTTGTAATTATTGGAGCTTGACAGAGCAGTCCAAATTCACTTACATTGTATGAAAAAAAGCAGTGTGAAGATTCTGCATCTCACTTCTCATTTTGGGTTTGGAGCGAGGTGAGTAAAGTGATGATGGAATTTTCATTTTTGTGTGAACTATTCATTTAAGAGTTTGGCAAACAATTTTTTTTGAGAAGTGCATGCTGTTTTCAAATGCAGTTTATTTTGTGCATCCTTTGTGCAGGATTGAGTATGACAAATAAGTGTGTTCACTTTGCCCAGTGGCTAATACAGTTCAATACAGTTGCATGATGTAAAAGGTCAGCTAGTCATTCCTTGGTGAGTCTCTGTATTAGTGAATACCATTCTGTCCGTTTCCGTGTAATGTAGGTGGGTGTTATGATCTGAGCGGGCAGGTGGGGACAGCCCTCGACTCTTGCACTCTCACATAGAGCCTCGGCATTACAGATGACATACATGCCACAGTCATAGCTATTCTGCTGCGAGGGGCTTTGCTCCTCCACAAAGGGCACTTTCGCTCCAGTGCCTACAAAAGCCTCTAACTTAGCTGCAATTCGGCGAGCATGCAATGAGTTGCTTCCACTCTGGGAGTCGTAGTGGGAGAACTGGTTGGTGTCTCGCCGATAGAGAAGCAGGCTCCAATGGGAGCCACCGGCTGATTGATTAGAGTTGTCATTGACAGCCAAAAAAACCCACCGACGAGACGCAAGACTCAGCGGCTCCAGGAAAATGGCGAGTTCCTCTTGACACGAAGCGTACTTTATAAACTGAGCGACTTCAGGGCTGATGAAACCGACCTTCTCGCCCAAACTTTTGAAGCGCTCTGTTGCAAAGTACTCAAAGGCAAAACCTACACTCTGGGAGTCGTAGTGGGAGAACTGGTTGGTGTCTCGCCGATAGAGAAGCAGGCTCCAATGGGAGCCACCGGCTGATTGATTAGAGTTGTCATTGACAGCCAAAAAAACCCACCGACGAGACGCAAGACTCAGCGGCTCCAGGAAAATGGCGAGTTCCTCTTGACACGAAGCGTACTTTATAAACTGAGCGACTTCAGGGCTGATGAAACAGACCTTCTCGTCCAAACTTTTGAAGCGCTCTGTTGCAAAGTACTCAAAGGCAAAACCTATGACTTGATCGTTGAGCCAGTGGGGTCCATTTAAAAGTGCCACATCTGAGCACCGCAGAAGACTGTCCTGGTAGCTCAGTACCACTGGATCCATCCTCAAGGCAACCAGAATGACAGCAGCAATTACTGTGGGGATGAGACTTAAAATATTTAATTGATTTACATACATAGTACCAAGTAAATACCATGCTTTTACATCAAGTAAACTTTTTAATGGTCCCCCACAAAACACTTCAGCTTATCCAAAATTCAGAAGCTTGGCTATTAACTAGAAAGAGAGAACACATAACTCCAGTTTTAGCTGCTTTGCATTGGCTTCCTATAAAACTTTCCTCTATATTGCCAAATTATATTCCGTCAAGAATATTAGGATAACTGGAGGTTCCAGCAACAGATGAAAGAAAATTTAAAAGAATGTTCAAAATCTTTTTACCATAGTTTTGAATTAGTTTTCTATGTATTATGTTGTTGATATACTACATTTTTATGCATTACGTTATTTTTTTAATCTTATGTGTAATGTATTTGATGTTATGTTATTTTTATTTGCTTAATTTGTTTTGTGTGTGTGCGTGTTACATTTGATGTTTGTGCTTCTACATAAAGCACTTTAAGCTGCATTTTATGAATGAAAGGTGTTATTTAAATAATGATATTTATTATGTTACATTATTATTATGAAACTGTTTATCCTATCTATCTATCTATCATCTTTAACTGTACCATTCTACTGACAATACTTTTGTAACGGTAATTTATCACCTACACTTTCTGTTCTTCTTACAATTTTGTATGGCTATTAAATTAATTTATATTAGTACAACTTAACTTTACTCTGATCTGTCTGTTCTTGTATTAGTTTTAAGATATAAGACTATTTATACTGTTATTTTATAAGTGCTTAAGCATAACTTAAAGTTGTCTTTAATATTTGCAAAAACTGTCTAATTGCACAAATCAGTACTGCACTGCGCACAGATGCAGGCCAAACAAACAGCGATTTAAAAACAAACATTCCGTTTCTCAGCTTTCTTCATAATTTTAATAATAGCAGTCAGTCATCTAATTTGACAACATATCGTTTCTTACCTTACTAAAGAAAGAGTCCCCAAAGTAAGCTCTCATAACGTCCACCTTCCTCTACCACAAGCGCAACGAGGGCAGGTGCCGTAAACCATTCACTGTTGTTATAGAAAATGTCGCGCTTCTACACGATTGCGACAGGGGCAAGGCGCTTCTCCGCTTCTTCGCCTCACGTACACGCCTCTTTCCAATACCCGAAGGTGATTGGCTGACATTCGTGACGCAACTAAATACGTATTGCATCTCTGAAAGGCAGCCACCGCCCATCGCCGCAGCTGACCCCGCCCAATTCCTCCCGATTCCAAGACCAGCGCGTCTAAACGCTGATGAGAAGCAGCACTGATTAAGCAGAAAAAAACAGAAAGGAGTTTCAGCGAGCGACTCCCACAAGAAAAGAAACGCCTCACTGTTGGGTAATTTCAATGGGAAAAGGACTGTAGTCATTTTTTAGTTAAAATGGGAACGGGAAAGTTGCAAAGGACAATTTGAGAGAGACCGTTCTGGGATATTAGTGGACTCGAGCTGCGCTGGATTTGATCTGCCCTTAAAGGAGAAGCGCAGCACACTGGATTTTTACATTGAACTCAAGAGAGGTGAGATTTAGTGTGTTAAAAGGATGTTCACTTGTGCTTTCGGCGAATTACACAAACAAACTTATCGTTCCCAGTTACCATGTTGACTCCATGCAGACACCAGAGTTTTATCTCCTGCTTTGTCTATGGGTTCTCGGGACGTTTGCGCGTGGCATACGTGCAACGCTATATTGTGATATTTCTTTTGCTTCGGTGTCAGCAGACATCAGGGTTACCCGTGAAGAGTGTAACTAGTATAACTGTGTTAGAATAACTCTGAGCTGACATTTCAAAGCGGCTGAGTAAACCCATTTTAAAGTGTGACAGATGCCCTGGGTGGAGATGATGATGATGATGATGGTGCATGTATTATTGAACACTCACTTCAGCCTCAGAACTGCAGTAATCATGGGCCAAATCTGCACAGTCATCCGGACCCAGTCATAATGTTTCATTTCCCTCTCATTCACTGCTCTTTTTTTGGAGATACTGTGGCCCTAAAAGTATGTGGGCACTCAAGTTAGTTAAAGGTGTATGAATCTCACTGCATTTAGGTAGCATCTACAAACAAATGATGCTACAGCTTTTTGAATGTCTTTTTACCATTTGATGTCAGTGATTTTAGTGGATGTAGTTCCTCACAAGTTCTCTCAGCTTTCCTAGCAGAGAAACCACAGGTGTAGCTCATCACATTAGCTATGAACGTCTTCAAGTAACAATACTTTTTGTATTAGTTGTAATTAAACAATGTATTTAGTGCTTATTTTGCATTTGAAACCTCGCAAACTTTTTTTGCTTAAACAGTTTGAGTCTAAATACTTTTTGGGATCATTTTTACATTGTTTGATATATGTCACTTGTGTTGTCAAAGTGATTTGGAGTTGCTGAGGAAAGTTTGGTGGCAGTGTTGTTTTCCCAGCAGAGCAGCACAGGTGATGTGAGGAATGTGAAGGGTCTG